ATATGTTTATTACTAACGGTTTAGTTAACTGCTGTTCTGTTTCATATGAGATTATTGGTTCGTTTTGAAAATTTATGGAAATCCCTGTTTGAAACTTGTGAACAAGGCCTCCTTTTATTCATAGGCCACGAAATATTACGTATTATCGTGCAACTTCAAATCAGAACGTTGGGATCCAATTTTCTACCAGTTCACGAATAGGCAAACCGATTTAAGATTGGTGATTGAGTAAATAAATTGACTGCATCCGATGGGTGGTTCGAAACCCTACGTGGTTAACTCAAGAATCACACACCAGACATCAAGAAAAGTCCTGCGCTCCCTGTACTCTAATGGCCTAGTCAAATTCTAGAAATCAGCCTCAGCAATGACTCTCGATAAATAAAAAAGAACGAAAATAGTTCAATCGAACCGATTAAAACAACACACTAAAAGAACCAAATCTGGGCCAGTCGTGATGAGAGCTAGGTCAATGGCGGTAAATGGTGCCTGCGTTTAGTACGGGGTGTCAAACAATAGTTAATATACGGAGGTGACGACACTCGTAACCGTAAACACAGCAATTGCATCTGCGCTCAAGCGACCTCAGTATAAACATACGGCTACCACCAAGCCATTGCACTTACTGGTCATGCATATTTCATTTACTGGAGGCCTCTCGATGATAATGATACCGAGGCGTGATCATGAAGGATGCAACGCCACACATATTAACAGTCCGCTCCTCTTGAATTATTTTTATTCGTGAAAAGTTCGAGTGTGGAACCACGTTTTTGTGTTTTTTTTTTTGATGGGCTGTTTATACTGTTATTAGCCGTGAAAGGAAACAAGACTTGAAGTGTACGCCCTCAAGCGATGGAGGTGATGACATCAGTTTGAAATCTGTCCCAGACGGCTCGTTATTTCTCTTTTTTTTATCAAGCATGGGATTCCATGCATGAGAGCCTACCTCAGGCCGAGAAAGTTTCTTTTCAAAACTAGCAGACATGATGAATGAACCAAAATGGCAATATTGGGCCAATTGTCCGCGTTTCGCATGCCAGTGACACTGAGACACAGGGGAAAGTAAAGGAAATTCATAGTATAACAAGAAAATTGATAAAACCTTTAAAAATCAGTCAAAAAAGTTGTAGTCATGGCAACTAACATACACTGTAGTTGAAAATCCAATATTGGTTGTGGGCAAACTGTACATGTATTGAATGTATAGTAATGTCAAACTCAGACCCCAATAAATTAGGCCTAAGTGAAGATTCGCGAAAAATGTTTATGGCAGTCATTGGTTCTTCCACTGCTATTCAGCTGAAGCAATTACATCCATGTTAATTCCTGATGGCTTTTTAAACGTGTTTATCATTGGATACAAAGACGTAAAATTTCGTTTATGTTTTGGGGAGAGCGCTTTGTGTGGTCGACTGCAAACTTGGCGTGTCGGGATACTGTAGGCCTACACATCCCCCATCCACACGCACCTTGTGTGGTTGCCGGCGAGGCAGTGTTTATTGATAGCTCTACCGTCCAAAGGCTCTCGCGGCCCGTATTAATCACGTTCGCTCTCCTGGTGATTACCCGCACTTCCCGGAGAGAAAAAAAAGAAAATAAGTATATCTCTTAAGGATTCGTTTATACCTTGTGGCATGCCCAGTTGGTCGATTCTGGGATTTATTGTTTGGGCGACCCCCACCGAAAATAATCAAATCTTATACACATCGACCCAAATGTTCTGTCAAATTACACGCCTAATATAAATGTTGACATTGAATGGAGGACGCTCAGAGTGAAAGGTGACGTGCGGTGTTGGTCACATGAATGTTAGGTCATTTGGATGCCTGCGTGGATATTTTAGTCATTAGGCTAATAGGAAAACAGAAACTGGACTTGTAAGACGAAAGTGTTTTCTGTAATCCTAGTTTCCTGTAAATATTGAAAAAATCATCACTTAAAAATTTTGTTTCAAAAGTAAAGAGACCAAATCATTTATATGATGTGACTTCTTTTCTTCACGATGGCTGCTGCTGACATTGTTACAACGTCATGAATTATTCAAAGCAGGATCTCTCCACATTCAATTTATTCAGTAATTGCTTGTGTCACAAGAAACGTCATTACCGTGAACCAATCAAAATCATCAAGCTACCCCTTGAAACCTTCCTCAATCATTCAAGCAATTTAATTGGTAAGTAACCACACTCCTCCCGATGACGTAGAAGATTCTATTCAACATTCAACTCGAGATAAATCATTCACTGAGAGACCGTGTTCAGAATTGGACCAACGGCTTTTTACCACAGCGCTTGATTTATCCATTTAAAAAGGCGCGAAAATATATATCTATTTCATCCGTCAATCAATCACGTTGTAGGCGCCGATATGATGTCACAGTGAGATAGTTCCCACAAAATTTATATCTGTACGAACATATTAATTAACTACGCTTTAAAATAAAATGCGTATCATTGCTAAGTTAGGTCACAGTGACATAGGCACGCGGTTGACGTTAAAAAGTAATAAGGAAAGCATAAACGAAAAATCACAAACACTAACAAACACAAACCATTTAAATCAAAGTGTGCAGTGAACTTGTCTTGCCTACTTGTATTTTGGTGCAACAGATAACACGAAAGAGCCGTTGTCTTTTCAACGCATGGACTTCCATGCACTCAACAGTCCGGCAAACGTTTGGGAAATTGACTAAATTTCTGGAATTTGTACAATTCAGTAAAGTTGAAGCTGTGTTTGCTTTGATTTCACCCTGGCTATTTGCTTGCTTTTGCCCGCTATATTTGCTTTTATTGACCAATTTTTTTTTCAGCATCGCGCGTGGCGATTCTTTGCCTATGTAAGCGAGAGGTGTCATCATTTTTGTATACTTCGGCATAATTACCGGACCAGTATGTAGCATGATTGAGGCTTTGACCTAGATTGGAAAGCGAAAACAAAGTGGAAAAAATACACACAAAGTCAAACTGGCTCCCGGCTGTATATAGAGACAAAGCAGATATGTTAGCATAAAATATGAACAAGACCCCGATATGAAGTTAATAAACTTTAAAGATTTCAATGAGAACATTTTAAATTCAGGATTCGAAGTCTGTCTTTTAAAGTTCTCCTTCTACTATTAGATTTTTGAGACCTCATTATTTAAAACAGTTCACCAGAGGTATGTGAAATGTCACACAATTTTGTGCCAATGTCTTCTTGCTCGAGTGTCTAGCCAAACCCAGCTTTAATGAACATTAATCTTATTCAAATTATGAACGTTTATTTACCAAACTCTCTGCTAAAATAACTGCTTGTTATAGTAAGTGCTTGCTGATTTTTTTTCTGTGCTGGCTCTGTGGTGTTGGGATCGCACCGCAACCCGCCAGGGCATTTATGGGGAGAACTTTGCCAAATGAGCCGTGGAGAGTAGTCAAGACAGACGCGGCTAAGTTTAGTTTAATCTCGGGCTTGTGTCTCGGGGGGTAAAACCGAGCCATCGCATGGCGTCTTCTAAGTAGCTGACCTCTGACCCGTCGTGAAGTCATAGATGTCAACTTGTCATCGTGTCTTTATCAGACACGAAAAAGGCGCCAATAACCCCGCTTGAGTCCGAAAATATGGAAAAATATGAAATGATCGTGTCATGGGTTGACACCTAGGGTGGTTTTCTTGACAAATTTACAAGTTCTGCTCCCTTTCCCAGTAAATGTTAACACTAAACATGATTTGGTTGTGCTACTTTTTCTGGGATATGTCTGTTCTATTTTTCTTGAATTTATTGCCTCGTGTCAGTTGAAATTAACGAAGCAAAAATTATTGCACTGCCCCAAATCATCTAACAGGCTGAAAAAGAAATTAATGGCGTCAACAGAGGGCGCTTTGCCCAAGTTCTAAAAATGTAATAGGTCTTTCTCAGAGGATATCAAACGCGATGAAAAATATTCTCAGTCTTAAAATTGACATGCATGTTTGAAAGTGTGATTCAGATTTGATTTGCTTTTAACCTCAGTCTGCTTAGAAATGGACATTTTCTCCTGGCTGCAAAACCAAACCCATCGAAACTTGGATCGAGTCAAGCTAAACGTGGACGGCCTTCGAAGCATTGTAAGCGTCAAAGTGCGCATTACCTTGCCAAACCATTCAGATAAAATGAAAACACTCCATAATTTTCATCTTCTTTCCCAATGTGTTTCTTCGTTCACATTTTGCACTTAAGCTACTTCCGTTGTTTTTATACGGTCATCGTTTTACGAGCGCGTGCAATAAATGGGCGGTAAACGGTGCGGTCGCGTGTTTTAGCACAATAAATCCGGCGCGCGCGATGGCAAGTCCATGAAGCCGAGCCAAGCACGGCAGGACAAATAATCAGACGAGAAGCAACCTGACGCCGAAATGACTGACGCACGGTAGCCGATACATCACCATCAACACCATTCGTTTCCATTCAGCCTCTCATCGCTTCTTGTGCCGTCTTCTCTTTTGGACAATCCTGTCACCGATTCCACTGTGTAATTTGAAAGTCGAGTATACAGGAAAATTACGGATAGATCATCACTTGCCCTAAATTTTTCTGAACAAACGAACAGTAAAATCTTGGATGCAGTCTTCGTGAAAGTTTCATCAACAGGGAATTACTTTTTATTAAGCTTTATATCGCGAATAAGGGAATAATTATACCTGTACCCAAGTAATCATCTTTAAGAAAGACTGCTGAGACAAGTTACCCGTTTCCTGTCCATGAAGATATTTCTTGTAGAGATCGCTCCGTGGGTATGATGAAGACTGTTCAGCTGATTGTCATGATTCCTGAAATAGACTCCCAATACTATCTCCGATCTTTTGTGTCTTATTGTGCGTCAGTAATTCGAACAGCTGTAACTTTTGCCATTCTACATTTTGCTTTAACGCATCACGAATATCGCTCCAAGTTGATTTTTTATTCAAGTATTATTCCTTTATACTTTAACCACAGTCGATGCACATTAAAAGGCATTTATTGTAACATTTTTCGACAACAGGTTACTTTCCGGATACCAGTGCCTACTTGATTACCAAGATCGGTTTATATGGGGGAAAATCGTCCGGTGCCAATTAAGCAGTGACCCACTTGATGAAGATTTCTACAATATCCTCGGGATACTAGACCAAGATGGTCGTCTTGTGTGAGATTCTGTTATCAAGTCCTCCACTTCAGCTTAATATTGCCCGACTACCGGTACGGTAAGAGCCATTTACGAAGCACCCAACCAATCAATCAGTCATTTGTTACCGAATAGAAAGCTAGGAGGCGCTCAAAGGATCCCGATACAGCCTAGGGGGACGCAGCGAGCGGTTGGTTGGTTTAAAGCTTGCCGAAGCTGAGCCAGCCAGTATCAAGAGTAAATCGATGCTGTGATTTAAACGGCGCTAGCTGCTCTTCATTTGGGCACAAGAGCCTCTTGTCACCATGCCATCCCCGACTAATCACCGAGCGCCTTCCGTTCGGATAATTGTATCTCATAAACAAGCTATCGAGAAACGATTGGCTTTTTTGCTAACTTCGCCTGGGCCCATGCAGCGAGGAACGGTGCAAGGGGGCAAACCGATCCGACGAGCGCAAAGACATTCAGGCACGCGGCTGGCCAATGGTGCTAAGCGATCTGGAAGTGAGATTGATGTGGTTAAGTATCAGATATGTCATCCGCTGAAGTAGAGACCCCTTCGCACAAATTCGACTGGTCTTTTATTTTATTTACAAAATGGCGTGTGCTCGGTTTTAAGGGGACTAAATTGAGCTTTAATGAATGGGGTTCTCTTTGGCAGGCCGCGTTTGGGTGGGAATAAAGAGCGGGAAAACTTCTGATTGCGTCAATAGAGGATAATTTGAGACGGTTTTTAATCCAGGCCGTCTATGATTGATGAGTGTGGGAATTGAGATTACAAAACTTCAAGGTTCGGACCTCAAACACTGAAGGGCAATTTACTTTTAATTGGAAATAATTCGTGAAGGCCAGAAAATGGCTGGATTTTTATTACTTCTAAAGATCAAAAAGGGGAGAGTACTTTTGAGCAATTACCAACAAATCCATGCAATGAATTCGTTACGTGATTGATGCCACTCTATAGTTTTAAACACTATAGTTTTGATTTGTAAGACTCCATTAAATACGAACGTATGTGCTGTCTGTTTTGCATTTGTTGATCAATATGCTGACGTAAAATTCGATGAAACATTTTCCTCTTAGATATTCATGAAGGATAGACCATCCTTACATCTAGATTGGAAATAATTGCTCCAGGTTTCTTTCGATGAGCCGTGTCACTATACCTAAATTTGCAGTTTGAATCAGCCATAGTTAGTGCGTATAATAATGTTAATTCGGGTTCACTTGCAGCACAAGCCAAACTTTGAGGAAACGCTGAAACTACTTCGTTTAGCCTGTTTGTGCTGTGTGCTTTGCCATGTTCAAGGCCTCTTAATTTGTTTGTTATCTGCACGACTTCGCCTTGCAGGACGGCAATCAATTTTCTCCCCGCAAGCCTAGCAAGTCAGGACCGTGATTAAAATCCTCTTGTGCCGAGCGTAGCCCCTCGGGGCCTGGCCGGCCGGGGAGCGGTTGGCCGCGATTGCCGGTGCCCGCCTCGTCAATTTCCGTGCCATCTTCCCGTCTTTTACCGTTGATGACCTAATCAGTCACACAATTCGTGTGCGAATTCACCCTTAGCGGGCCAGGAAATTACCACACAAGAAAGAGAGTGGACTTTTGGAGATGCTGGAGAATCAAGGCCAAGAAACCGAATGGGTTCATTCGAATTACGATAAAGTTTTCTTTTCAACAACTCAACGCGTGACAATTATTGTCTTGTTATAACTCTTCTGTAGTATTGTGATGTTCGCTATCGTCACAATGTGACCCTGCAAAGATTTATCGTACATGAGCCGATAAAGTTATTTAAACCTTTCTTGTTAGTTTCTTGTTGTTTTTTCTAAACGATTTATGTTTGTCAAAGAAAGTGGGCGGGCTCATTGAGTAGCTTTCTCATGTATTTCACATCGAACATATCAAAATTATTTTTAGTCACTATCCCTACGCGGGTAATGAGTTCTAATTGGGCAAGGTATAAATCCTTCCCGAATGTTAGCCATATTTTCCCTACATCGACCAACTGCCCGTTTAAAGCAAAGTTAGATTTTTAAAAAAAGAACCGCAGTCAGTGTAACGTAAAATTTCCATGAGAAAACTGTTACGTATACCGTTTGTTTATACATATAAATTAACCATTTCCCCTGCACAAAGCATCCCTTTAAACATCCATGATAAAGAAAACATCCAAACATCCAAACAAAAGAGAGCGTACCAGCGCCTAATCTCGACCCATCACATCCTAATGCGGAAATCATTTGTATGTTATTAGAGGGTGTATACACTCGCCTTATCATCAAGCACAGTCCAGAAACTTGTCAGCAAGCCAGCGCATTACAGTTTATGCGTCGTCGGTCTGTACCGCAAGAGTGCAGACTAAAGGGTTCAGTTTACATTATACTCGTCCCGCACTTTTGGTTTTGCATCGTGCATGGGCCGGCGTTCCGTCAGGGGATTCTTGGCCGATTGCTATGTCTCCCCCCTGGCGCCCTAATGACACCTTATACAAACTAAAGTGACTCGATTAGGTAAACTGTATGACACGGTGCATATCATCTCAAATACATATTAATCATGATATGACAAAACAGCTCTTTGCTAAGTGTGAAAACAATGCAGCCGATCCGGCTGCACAGGGACACTGCACTTGTTGGAATTCCTAACAAAATTCTAGAGGGAATATAAAACTAGTGACTTAAAATTGCAGTCTATTATGGGGTTATCGTTGTGGTATTTGACTTATTAACTTTATTCACATTTTTCAGTATCGGCTTACCGGACAAATTTAGCGATAAAAACTTGGATAAAAAGAAAGCTAAAACCGCGGATTTCCACTTTTAAATTTATGCATGAGTTTAGTGACTATTATGCAGGGCCGTACTGTATTTCGAGATTTATTTCGCTTTCATTGTGTAATGTAATCATTGTACAACGTGATTTCTTCCACTGAATTATCCAGTGCGCCCTCTCTTGTAGTTAGGTTCTCAGCTCATAAAGTAGTCTGGATACCAGACCAGATGATTCTGACTATACTCTACGAATCCGAAGGGTCGGATACCGTGCACGATATGGGGCCGATGGGTACCCCCCCCTCCAATTACCTAACACATCCCCCTAGAACTTAGAAGTCTGTAAAGAATTCCTGAGATTCCGATCAAACAATGGCCAACACAAAGGCAGGGGGGGTCTCTCCGCCCCGTATCTTCATCGTATGGAGGGTCCGGTATCCCCCAATGTCCACGTGACCAAGACTGGAGAAATTCCTCCAGTTTTCAGGAAATACCCAAAATATTCCGAAGTCGTCCCGCCTATATTCGGCATGTTCGGATGGTACCGTTGACGTTCGGTGATTCCCGGTCGAGTAGGTGGGCTAGCTGTTGAACGTGAACTCCCGTATCCTAATGGCAGCTGTTGATACCACAATATTTGACTTTATATAACGGGTTTTGCCCTTACCCAGCGTATATATTAATAACACTGTATGCTCAGTGCTTGTCCGAGAGCTTGC